GTTAACTTTATGGAAGATGGGAATTTTTTCTTTTTTTTTTTATCTTGCTGAAATGGTAAAGATTTTGGGTATCTGAAGAATTAATTAAATGAATAATTTTTATTAAAAGGAAGATTATTATAAATATAATAATGTTGTAATAATTGAAAACAATTGAATGATAATTAAGTAATTGAAGTTGTAAACCTTATTAAGGGTTTCAAATGATTTTTTATAGGTGTAGCTTCATGAAATGACAGAATTAACTTGTTAACTTTACGGAAGATGGGAATTTTTTTTCTTTTCTTCTTTTGTATAAGTAAGGGATGGTGTTAAACTATCTTGCTGAAATGGTAAAGATTTTGGGTATTTGAAGAACTAATTAAATGAATAATTTTTATTAATACGGAGGAGATGGATTGTTTAAGTTTAGAGTTTGGAGTTAGAGATATTAATATTTGTTTACTTGTATTTGAATATTAGCCTAGGTTTGGTTTGGGAAGTCTGGGGGGTGGGGGGATGGGATATAACATTGTGTAATATCTGTGATGTATTTCTTTTTTTTATGATAAAAACAATAAAATTTTATATTGATAAAAAGAACATCCAGATTCAGCCATAGTTTCATTCCATACAGCATTAACCTTGTGAACTCTCAAGCTTCCTCCTTCCGTTATATATTCAAGATGGACAGTATTTAATATTTATTTGCTACGTATATGTAGGGGTGTGGGTCTATACATATGTGGTTCATAGTATGTTGAGGTGTGTGTCATGTATTGTTTCACTTTGAGAGCGGGCAACTAAATTTCATTTTTGATGTGTGCCATTATGCCCACAGTAAAAAAATGACAATAAAGGTTATCTTATCTTATCTCTTATTTAACATTTCTTAAGTGAATTTTGCCCAATTTTATGATCTTTCTTGCCATCGTTGTTAAGTGAATCATGGCAGTTGTTAAGCTAGTGACATGGTTGTTAAGTGAATCTCGCTTCCCCGCTGACTTTGCTTGTCCGAAGGTCGCAAAAGGTGATCACATGACCCCGGGACGCTGCAGCCATCATAAATATGAACTAGCTGTCAAGAATCTGAATTTTGACCGCATGACCGTGGAGAGGCTGTCATTGTTGTAAGTGTGAAAAATGGTCATAAGTCACTTTTTTTCAGTGCCGTTGTAACTTGGAACAGTCACTAAACGAACTGCTGTAAGTCAAGGATTATCTGTAGGCATTTTCTCCCTAGAGTTTCGTCTTTCCACTTTGTATCTTCTCCAACATTTTAAAGTTTCAGTCCTCCTAAAAATAAACCCAAGGTGGATCCCTCCACCCCCATTCTGCCTCCCCCAAAGGTGCTTTTTCACGAGACAACTGGACTTCCTTGTTTTTCTTTGAAGATGTTTTGCTTCTCATCCAAGAAGCTTCTTCACCATCCAGTCAGAGCTGAAGAAGCTGCTTGGATGAGAAGCGAAACGTCTTCTAAGAAAAACAAGAAAGTCCAGTTGCCTCATGAAAAAGCACCTTTGGGATAACTATGACCTGGATGACTGAGAATCTCCATAGACATTCTGCCTCCCTTTGCTTCTTTGCTCCTTAATGGGCATTCTGGATTCTGAAGTCCTGAGCTAAAAGGAATTCCTTTGGAGGAAGAGAACACCTCCAGCATCCTCAGTTCAGAGTTCAAAAAAACCCCCCTGTGATGGCCATCTTGCCTCAGCCAAGGGGTCAAAGACTAGGCGTGTGTTTTTGCATTTAAATGAACCCTGGGTTTTGCAAAAAGCTTTGGCAGAGTCAGCAGTTACTTTTTCTCCTAAATTATGGCCACATAATAGGTTGGGCAATATCTTCAAGAGCTTCTTGGTCAGGTTGAAAGCACTTGTGGGCAGGATATGGGAAGGAAAAAAAAGCAGTTGTTCTTTCACTGAACCAACCAATGATATAGTTCCCCGAAAACACGAGGCCCAATCAGGGCTAATCAAAATGCAAGTATTAGTCATATTATATAAAGCACACCCACTGGTTGTTATAACTTGTAACAGCAAGCCCAGACAACATCACAGAAAGACAGATATCCATCAAGGCTCACAAAAGCGTCCACATTTGCACAGGTATTAATTTCTCATTTCTCTGCTTAGAACTTCTGGTACTGTATTCTCTGCTTCGTGGGCCAAAGAAGATGTAAGGGAGGAGATCTGGAACTTGAGAATATGCTAAATGTCACTAAGTGAGGATATGGCCTTCTACAGATATGTTTCAGAAACCTTGTTTCACGGACTCAAAAAACCCAGTGTTTATTTATTCTGGTTCAATTCTGGTTAGTTTGAAGAGCTCTCTCTCTCTCTCTCTCTCTCTCTCTCTCTCTCTCTCTCCTCTCTCTCTCTCTCCTTCTCTCCTCTCTCTCTCTCTCTCTCTCCTCTCTCTCTCTCTCCTTCTCTTCTCTCTCTCTCTCTCTCTCTCTCCTCTCTCTCTCTCTCTCTCCTCTCTCCTCTCCTCTCTCTCTCTCCTTCTCTCCTCTCTCTCTCTCTCTCTCTCTCTCTCTCTTTCTCTCCTTAATTCTGCAATTTTATTATTAAAAATTCACAAAATAAAGATCTTATGTATTAAATATAATTAACAAAAAACTAAGGGACTTTTTGGGAGAAGGCAGTAAAATTCTATTACTATTTTATTTATTATGGTTCTTGTTCTGATTGGTTTAATGAATTTATTGCAAACCATCTCTCTCCCTATCGTCTGTCTGTCTGTCTGTCTATCAAATGAAGATGCTATGCATTGAAAACAATTAACAAAAATTTAAAATTTTCCAGCCTTTGTAAAACACCCAACCAACTCTCGCTGAGGAATTCTAGAAAAATCTGAAAATTTGGGAAAAGCCATAGAAATGGCAGGAAAAGCTGAAAAGAAGATATGGGATGAAGAAATGAAAGATTTATTCAAAGACTTTACCTATAAGAAAGGTAAAAAACAACATTTCTTTTTTGTCCTTTATTGCTCTAGAGATGTTTCCAAAACATGCCTATATTCTAAATAACTTAGAGAATGTAGAAATAAAATTTGTTTTTCCTATTCTTTACAAATGAAAAATATGCATGCACAGTCAGGGATATCAATCAATATTCTACTAGTTAACACTGTTAAGTATAACCAACTAATGTTTAATTTTGAGTCAGATTTTAAGCAACTGCTTCCTTATATATTATACAATTTTCTCCTCAAAACCTAAACCAGATGGCTTTCATATTACTGCCGATTCAGATCCACGTTTGTTCAAATTTTGGGATATCCACCAGAGGTTTTTCAGCCTGATGGGTGACGACAAGTTAGTGGCAAGTCCAAATGATTCAAATTCAACAGGTAAAAAAAAAAAAGGAAAGCTCTTTGTTTTTAACTGGAACAGTCCTACTCTTTCTTGGCCAAAATGATTAATGAAACATCTCTGATGTCCAGAATTGATACTGCAGATGTCAGAAATGACTGTCTAAGAGTAGACTGGAAACCAGTTTGGTAAAGCTACCCTGAATTCTCAGTTCAAAGATTTCCTGTGGAATGCTTCATTCTCTAAATCTGGATCTCCAACATTCTATATGTGTTCCTCTGTGCCCCTAGATACTTGGATTCTTTAGATGTTGGAATTCAGATAATTAAATAACTAGAGAAGTCCATGGGCGATAGACTGGTGCTGGAAAGTAATCTTGCCATTCTGCCATTCTGCCATGGAAAGAACCATAGTATTTCTCCCAGTTCCAAATTTCTCCCGAATTCAGATGTTCTTACAAGAAATCAGGAGTTTGGTGGCACCTTTTCCAACTAATACATCTTATAAAAAAGCATATGCTTTCATGAACGTAGCTCAGTTGCACAAAGTAGCTAAACTGATGTATCTCTGTTCATTTCTGCATCTAATAAAGTGAATTGTTGACTTCTAAAAGTGCTATGCCTTTTAATAAAATTGTTTGTTAGGAAGGCATTAGTAGACTTCTGATTCTTTGCTACCATTGATTAACACAGTTCTCCCATAGTATCTAGAGGAGTGATGTGCCTACAAAGGCCTTATCTCTAGTTGAAGACTTGTAGTTCCTCTTACCACTTGTTCTTGCTTTGGTAAATCTTATTCTTAACCTAACATCAATGTCTTCTCATCCAAAACATCCCAACTAATAGAAAAAAAAACCATGCCATTTTCTCTTGTCCTCTTGTTAGAAATTCTGTTTATATATAGCACCACAGAGCAAATCAAGAGTACAGTCACCATGTACTTTACTGCTTAACAGTTTTACTGTAACAGGAAACAGGAAACTCTACTTAGAACAACAGAGCATAGAGTATATATCAGTGGTGGCGAACCTATGGCACGGGTGCCAGAGGCGGCACGCAGAGCCCTCTCTGTAGGCACGCACACCATCACCCCAGTCCTAGGCCTTCAGCTGGGTTTTATAAAACCTTTTCGCTTTAGGCCTCTGCCGCTGTGTACAAAAAAAAAAAAAAAGGTTCAATCAGTCGATTTCAACTTCTTGCGGGAAATAAAAAGATCTTGCAAAGTTGGAATTGATTGATTGAACTTTTTAGTCCCACCCAGTCTGCCGTTACCACCGCAGCCACGCCCACCCAATGGGCCACACCCAAGTGGCACGCGACGATGCGTAAGTGGGTTTTGGGTTGCAGTTTGGACATTCAGTCTCTAAAAGGTTCGCCATCACTGGTATATATCATAAATCCAAACTTGTAAACACTGTCATCTACTGGCTGAATACTATTGTGGTGGTTGCATAAAAATACATTCCAACAATGAATTCCAACGCCCCTTATATTGTATCTTCCTGTGATTCCTTTCCAGAGCAGTTCATCTCTGTGCTGCCCAATAATGCTCTGGATGTAGGAAAGCAAGCCATCTTTATGGGTATCCATCCAAAAACTGTAATGAACTGTGTACAGCCTGAGGGGGGTCAAGTTCAGCTCCAGTTAATAGTGAGTATTTCACTTATACCTCAATGGGGGAGGACAGTTTCTCTTGGAAAATTATCCTTGTTTGTCCTTTTATGGTGCATGATTTGTACTATTTCTATTCTGTGCTAGTATTAAAAAGTCTCAAATGCTTTTCACCAATGGAAATCTAGAGATGGTTAAATGGGAATTATCTTCCTGAGTCCACTCCTTTTTTACAAATCCAAGTGATATGGTTGGAAGGAAAGAAAGAAAGAGAGAAAGAAAAAGAGAAAGAGAGAAGTTTCTGTAATCTGGTAACCATATTACCAGATTACAGACATTTCTCTCTCTTTCTCTCTCTCTCTCTCTCTTTCTTTCTCTCTTCCTCTGTTTCTCTCTCTTTGTCATATTCTCTTTCTCTCTTTTTCTCCCTCTTAGATGTTACCTTGTCACGTATTGGTAATGATTTTTATTTTATTTTTTGAAACAGTGCAAAGTACCGTAGCTTCAACAATATGTTGACTTACTCTATGTACATACAATTACACCTAAACACTTCTGCAAAACCATTTACTCCCACGTTCTTCTTGTTTTCTGGTTACATTTGGCATAATTGCTGTTGTCACTGGCTTATCAGCTAAATATTTGTGGTTTTTTTTTAAATAACATGACAGTGACAAAGGAAACTTTGCTTAAAGAAGGTGTATTGATGTCCCTATTAGTAGAAAATGTGTCTCCTAAGGTGCTATAAATTATTCAAGAGGAGTTTTGCAGCCCTGCTATCCTACATGACTGCTTTCTAATGAAGTCTTCCTGTTTTTAGAGTGGAAACATTATGCAGCTATACAAAAAGGGAGAGGAGTTGTTGAACTTCAGTTTTTACAGCAAGACCGATGGCAGCCCAGATACCTGCTCTTTTGAATCTGCGCAGTTCCCTGGATGGTTCCTAAGTTCTTCTTCTGAACCAAACAAGCCTCTTGGTTTGAGTCAAAAAGGAGGACCTGAAAACATCCTGTTTCATTTTCAAAGAATAAACTGAATCAGAAGTTTTGTTTTCAAAGAGAGATGGAGCAGATTGTTTTGCTATATTTTACATGTGATGGAAATATCTTTTGGCTTTGGGCTTTTTTCCTTTCGAACAGACTGTGATAAAGAAGCAGAAGGTGGGATCAAAAGTAGAGATAGATAACAGTTCGCCTGATCCAGAAAACCTGTTGTACTTGGTGATCTTTGGAAGAAAATACCATAAGGGCCGAACTAAAAATTCTCAGGCCAGCCAGACGTGTTATGTAAACATGGTAGAGATGTCTTTACCTCACAAAACTTAGAGAAGACTATTATTTGAGAAGATGAGGGAACAGACATAGAATTTAAAGCTTGGGGCCAACATATTTATGAGAGTGCATTCTTGTCTCTTTAAAGCAGGGGTAGTCAACCTTGGCTCTTTTATGACTCGTGGACTTAAACTCCCAGAATTCCTGAGCCAGCATGGCTGGCTCAGGAATTCTGGGAGTTGAAGTCCACGAGTCATAAAAGAGCCAAGGTTGACTACCCCTGCTTTAAAGGAATTCTTCCTGAGTCTGTGGCTAAGGGAAAACAGTCATTTCAAGCTTGTTACTCAATCCTTTGTACCATTGTCTTCTGCATTACATAGACTTGCAAAAATGGGTTCCTTGATGGGTATGGGAAAATACCCATCAAGAGAGAAAATAACAATGAACTAATAAGACCACAATAAAAACGAAAGTGTTGGAAGTCAGTGTCTGGTTTTCTGTGAATTATATTTACATTTTTAGTTTTTCTTTTTTAAAAAAGGAAATGCACATTCACCTAGTCCAGGGGTAGGCAACCTTGGCTCTTTTATGACTCGTGGACTTCAACTCCCAGAATTCCTGAGCCAGAATGGATGACCTCCCCTAGCAGTTTCATGTAGGTATTAAACAGTAGCAGAGAAAGAAGCAAAGACCAGGGGTCAGATCTCTCTCCCCTGATCAGTATTGACTGAGAATGGCCTCAGAGGAAGAAATGCACCAGGACAACGCAGTGCCCTCAGTCTGCGATCCCAGAAGCGGGTCCAGAAGGATGTCATAACTGATGGAACCAAAAGCCACTGAGAGCGAGAATGGATGCACCACCCTCCCATCTCATTGCCATCGTGTTAGTGCCATTAGGACTTTCCCCCATTTTATCCTCTCCTGCTCGATTCTCAAGTGGCCTCAACAGATCCCTGTAATCTCCCACTACTGGAGATGCATTTGTGTGAAAGAAGGAGGAAAAAAACCAGGCTTTGAGGGAAAGATGGGTGTGTTTGTTGATCTGGTTAGGTTGCACCCCACCCACTTTCTCTTCTCCAAGGTGAGAAGCAGGATCTGGGGAAGAGAAGGAAGAAGGTGTGGTTGGCTAACACATCTGGAAGAGACATGCCATCGATGGCTGCAGTGCCAGGAAAAATGGGCGTGCCCAACTTGACTTTGATTTGCATGTCTTGGCTAATTTGAACATCTAATTGCTAGATTGCCAGTGGAAGCATGAAAGGAGGGCAAGAATATTCTGCAGCATTTTCCATGAGTGTCATGAAACTTTAGCTTGGAGAAAACCTGGCAGAATTTGTAGGATGATACTCGGACAGATATGTAGTATCACTTTCCTATTTGCATGGGAGATATTCTCCATTAAGAATCTTGATAGGTTTTGCTCCAGTACACTTGAGGTGTTTGGTTTATTAGGATAAGGACACACGGAAGCAGAAAGCAGGCTGAAGTGAGGGGGAAAATTCAGGAACATTTATGAACAAGAAGGTTAAGACAAAAATCTCATGCACTCTGAAGAAGGTCTGCATAACACAAATTGAAGTCCTCAAGAAAACAGATCTCAAGACAATAAACTCAAAGTCAATGAATTAAGGAATGCAGCTGGAAGACTTCTACTTATTTGTGGACCATTTTATTTTAGGTAATATCATGTTCAGTTCATATGGAACTTGCAGTGCCCCATGCTTTAGTCCTTTATTTCATGTGTCAAGGAGAAACTTAATATTTTCCCTCAAATCACTCCTAAATATGGAAAATTTAATAAGATATGCTCCTTGTGTGTCCTATAATAATCTAAATAAGGTGTTGGTATGCAGGTATAGCTTAGAATTAAATAATTGCTTTCGGACTGAATGCTTTCACCATATTAATCCATCTAGACTAAGTTTCAATCCTATTTAAACCCTTCATGCAAATTAATGTTCAGATTTATTGTTTGTAACCAAACCATAGGAAAACCTTCTATGAAGGCTTTTTGTGCAAAATGAAAGATTGCTTCTGGACAATAAGAGCTAAACTGAATTATATCAAGCTGGTGGGGTGGGCATGGGTTTGTGACTCTTGACCCCTCCTGATCCCCTCAAGGAACAAAAGTGACCTCCATGACAGTTTGAAATGCAGTACAGCAGACCCTGAGTTGGTTACTCAACTCTTGTGAGTAGTTTGAGCAAGACAGGTATAATGTCTTGTTGAAGAAAGGCCAGGTTGTTAACCCTAATTAGAAGGCATCAGGCACTGGGAAATTTTGGACAGCCAGATATATATGATCTTTTACAGTAGTCACGAGGGTGATTTCACAATCATCAATGGGCATGTCTGTTAACACCCTCTGATAGATATAAAATCTTATGTCAGTTCCAGTGATGATCAAACAGAAGGAATCTTCAGCCCAAGAAGGCACATCTCCACAGGTATTGTCACCTGATTTATTGGGTTAGGCTACCTGCTCCTAGGACAGGGGTGGGGAACCTTGGCTCTTTTGTGACTTGAGGACTTCAGCTCTCAGCCAGCATGGCCAACTATCCATAGGGCAGAGGCCCTTTCATTTTCTGTCCAAGAGTCATTGATCTTTGGATACTTTTGGGACTAGATGATAGCAGCTAGATATCCTTTTAAGGAAATTACTTTGGAGAAGCCCTTGTATTTACTGGTTTAACTATATTTAGCTTGCTTTTCTATTTAGCACTTTTTAAAAACATCTGTCGGGCTTGTTTGTATTTGTTCTGATTCCAATTTCCTTTCTTATAGTTCAATAGTTTTTTTTAAAAAAAAATTAAAGCAGGGAGGCAACTTATTAAAACCATGAGTGAAGGCGAATATACCTGTCCCAGGATAATGTTGCAGCAACCAAACCTGATTCGGTCACTAGGACACGAGGTTTTCTTCATCATGCTTATATCTTAATACAATTGTAGCACTAGATAATTTGGAATTTTGAGGAAAATATAGGTCGTTTTGGAATGTCCTCAGGATGCTATACATTTCTCCTAAATTCCTATACATCTCCATCTTGATCACCGATAGCTACCTTCTGTTCCCTAATCAGTGGAACGACTTGTCACCAGAAGTTGTGGATGCTCCAACACCGGATACATTACATTGCATTTGAGAAAATCAAGCAATCAATATTGTTCAGAATGTCTTTGATATTTTCCATCTTTTGTTTGCCAGGATTTTTAATTTAAACTATTCCCTTCTTCTGAAGATCCTAGAGAAATCTAAAGAAGTAGAAAGGTTGGGGAGATGGCAAGTCATCCTTGTAAGAAGACTTGGGATGAAGAAATAGCAGAGCTATTTCATGATACTGAACCAGGTGAGAAAGATGTTGTTCTCTTCATTTGCTTCTTTGGAAACATTGCCCCAGTCATGCACGTATCCTTAATTATTTGGCCATTGTAAAAATGAGCTTCATTTTTTCAATCCTACGCAAATAAAACCTTCAGTTTTTTAAAGTCAAAACTTTCTTAGTGCTACTCTCTGGAGGAAGCTACCCTATACCAGAACAAATGCAATGTGTTGTGTACATAGCAATAGAGCTGTCCAGCAAATGTTCATCTTATTCATCAGCTGATATATCAAGTAGATGCTCCATGGATTATAGCATTTGTGTACTCTGATCTTATTTTGCAGAAAGTTAATTTTAGACATGAGAATGGTCATATATTAAGCTTGTCCCTTTTCTATGCTTTACAAAGTCTTCTATATCTTCCATTGACACCCCAAATTTGGTTTCTAACCCTCCCTCTCTCACACACATACACATACACATTACACACACACTTCTCCATTAAAAGAAACTGTTTTTTTAGCTTTCATTGATGGTGATCTTCTTAAAACTCCAATTACAGCACAAGGTTGCCCAGTTCTACTACAGTGCCTCTCTCAAAAGACATTAATTGCATATAATCCTGTTTTTTCCTTTCAAAACTGAATTGCAGCATTTTGCTGGTTTATGATTGAATCAAATCCAGATTTGATTGGCTGATTGACTGAATATCAGCAAGGTGAACACAAAAGGGGAGGGAGGGAAGGAGAGAGAAATAAAAGGGAAAGAGGACAATGTGGAAGAAGAAAGATAGGAAAAAGGAAGAAGCGAGAACAGATTGAATTAATGGTGACTCTAGGCTATAATTGCTTTCATCTTGCGTGTATTTGACATTAATTACATGTTTGCTAACCATATTTTAGGGCCTTTTCCTCCTCTATAGCTAGAATTATCCAGAATGCTTCCACTTGTAACTCTCCACCCTGTCTCTTCCTGGGTCCCTTAATATCATCTCAGTTACTTTCATGTTTACATTCCATAAGGCTATATCCAAGAATTCTCCCCTGCATCTTGGTACGATATCCAAACTGCTTTTGAGAGAGCCTGTTCAGTAGACCTTTGCAAGTCACTTGAAAGAGAGGCAAATTATTGTAATTCGTTTTTCAGTGAGATAGGTATGATTCTAACTTTCTCCGATTGTTCCTTCTTTAGAATGTTCCCTTTCTTTGCACATAAAATATGTGTTTAATGTATATCCATATTCTTTCCACAGATCCAGAAATAAAGCCTTACGAACACCCTGATCCCCGATTGTATAAATTTTGGGATCTTAATCAGAAATACTTATTTTTGCTGAAGGACGTGATAGTGGCAGATGTGCAAACTTCTGATTCACCAGGTACAAACTAAGTTGCTTATCTTAGGCTTGAAAATTGCACCCTCCTCTTGGCCAAACTTAAGGATAGGATCCCTTCAGTGGTGAAAAGCTCACGGCGGATAAATTAGGACTTACTGTTGTAGTCTAGGCTGGTGGCCACGTTTAACATTATTGTATTATTAAAGTTGCTTATTAAAAAAATGACTTGCTGCATATTCCATTCACTAATCCTGGGTTCTCAACATTTTTGCCCTGTGCATCAATGTACCCATAGACATAGCTCCTTGCCCTATGTCAGTGATGGCGAACCTTTTAGAGACCGAGTGCCCAAACTGCAACCCAAAACCCACTTATGCATCATCGGGTGCCAGATGGGTGTGGCCGTTGGGTGGGTGTGGCCATTGGGTGGGCGTGGCCCATTGGGTGGGCATGGCCCATTGGGTGGGCATGGCTGCAGTGGTAACAGCACACTGGGACTAAAAAGTTCAATCAATCAATTCCAACTTTGCAAGATCTTTTTTTTCCCGCGAGAGGTTGAAATTGACTGATTGATTGAACCTTTTTTTTTTGTACACGGCGGCGGACGCCTAAAGCGAAAAGGTTTTATAAAACCCAGCTGAAGGCCTAGGACTGGGACGACGGCGCGCATGCCCACGGAGAGGGCTCTGAGTGCCGCCTCTGGCACCCGTGCCATAGGTTCGCCACCACTGCCCTATGTGATATTTTAGGAAAGACAGATTTAATTCAGAAACAATAAAGGGAATGTATTACATGCAATATGTACCACAAAAGGTCCTCCAGTTTTCATATGCAGATAGTCCTTGACTTACAACCATTTATTTAGCAGCACTGGAAAAAGTGACTTATCACCAGTATTCATATTTACAATCACTGCAGCATCCCTTCAGCCAGTGGTGGGATTCAGCCAGATCACATTACTTCGGCAGAACTGGTAGCTAATTTTTTTATTGCCCAGGCCCAGAATGGACTTCCGGAAACGGTATCCCCCCAGAGAACTGATTGTTCACACATTTGAATCCCACCACTGCCCTCGGTCACATGCCAAAATCAGACAGTTGGCAATTGGCCTATCTTTATGACAGCTACAGCATCCCAGGGTCAGATTGATGATCACCATTTGCCCCTTTCCAGCCAGTTTCCTACAAGAAAAGTCAATGGGGAAGCCAGATCCGCTCAACAACTATGTTATTAACTTAACAACTGCTAATGATTTGCTCAAAAAATCGTGGCAAAAAAGGCAGTAAAATTGGATATAATTTACTTAACAACTGTCTTGCTTAACAATGGAAATTTTGGTCTCAACTGTAGTGGCCAGTCAAGGACTACCTGTATATCTTAGATCAGTGGTTCTCAACCTTTTTAATGCCGCGACCCCCAACCGGTCGTAAGTCGAGGACTAAACCGGTTGTAAGTCGAGGACTAAACCGGTCGTAAGTCGAGGACTAAACTGGTCTAAGTCGAGGACTACCCAACCGGTTGTAAGTCGAGGACTTTCCCTGCCCGGGAGCGCCACGCATGCGTGGTTCCGCCCCCTGCGCCGGCCGAGGCGTAGCTGGCAAGCGGCAGAGACGGAGCAGGCCGACCACCAGCTGGCCCAGCTCAAGGGAGGTAAGGCACCCGCCGGAAAAGGGGAAAAAAATGGCGGACAAAAAAATGGCAGACAGCCTTGCTTGGCGACCCCCCATGAAATGGTTGATTGAACCCAAATGGGGTCGCGACCCATAGGTTGAGAACCGCTGTCTTAGATATTAGGGGGCCTTGATGTCCTCTGAGCTTGCTTGTTTTCTTGCAGACGTGTCATTACCCAGACTAGGTAACATCATCAGTGCTAGTCATCAGAGAGCACCAAGGACCTCTAATATCTAAGACATGCAGATAATCCTGACTTGCTAGCACTGAGGATGTTACCTAGTCTGGGCGATGAAACATCTGCAAGAAAACACGCAAGCTCAAGGACCCCTCGTATCAACCCTGAGCTACAAATATTCTCCTTTATTACTCTTAGATATTGTTAGAATAAAGCACAGTGAGTGATTTTAGTCCAGTGTTTGTAAAACTGCCCACCAGCCTACAAAAGAAGCAAAGCTAAACTACTATGACAGATATCAAACTAGGTAGCTATCCAGTTTGAATTTCACAATATCAGTGTTTTCGTAGTTTACAAAGTAGAAATGTGAAGTATGTTTGGGGTTTTGGTTGACGTACTCATGCTCAGTTCAGTTCTCAGTATGAAAAAAATAGCCAAACTAGGCTGAAGACCTCAAAATTACCTTCTGACGAGCTTCAGTCCCTCCCATTGCAAATCATTCCTCTTATATGAGGGCTTATATCTTTTTTCCAGAGGTCCTTTGCTTTTATAAATCATATTCTTAATCCGATACATATGGTTTCCCCATCCCAAACATCTCCATCAACAGGAAAAAAAAACCATGCTTCCATTCTTTCTTAACTCCTTGATCTTCTTTCTTGTTTTTTTATTCTTTCCAGAGCAATTCATGGCCGTGCTTCCTAATAGATCTCTAGATAAAACACAAAAACCCATATTTATGGGCCCTGAAAAAAAGAAGAGCTGCTTGTCTTGTGTGAAGTCTGGGAATGGTCAATATCAGCTAGAGTTAAAAGTGAGTGTTTGACTTGCATTACCAACATATTTTGCTTTCTCTAGGAAAATTGTCTTTTTTATTTGTCCTTTTATTCTCAGTGATATATTCTGTACTGTTATTGTATATTAGGAAGACTTCTAGAAGCTTTAGCTGATGGAGTGAAATAACAAAGCTAAGATGGGGCCATCATTTACCTGGTAATGCTCCCCTTTCATTGGCTTTACCTTTTTTTATAGAGAATCCTAATGACACACTTACTGATTGATCATATCTTATATATTTCTTGATAAGTGGTTTCTCTTGACAAGATTGATGAAAGGGTTGTTCATTTTTGGTTTTGCAAGACAATGTAACGTGAGTGCTGCTCTCTTTGGTATGAAAGCTCCAAAGAATATTGAGGCAGCTGCTCTTTCCTTTCCTTCCAGTGTTCTATCTGTTTTATGGCTGCTTATTTAACTTGATTGGATAGAATCTCTTTCTGAACACTGAGAGATTAAATAAACTTGATTGGCTGACGTGTTAATTTATAAAACTTTCTGTAAAAAGGGAAAATGTGAATTCCATCTCGATAGACCATAGAAATCCTCTAAGGGGCTGCTAATGATGGTTTATGCAACTTACAACCAGGTTATCCTAGTGTTCCTATGTCACTTCTTTCTCATGGTCTCTCCCTTTTTTCCCTAGGAGAAAGATATTGCAGATCTTTATTGGGATTCAAAAAGCGCCAAAGCTTTCACTTTTTATAGTAAGAGTGATGGAAACGCTGATACCTGCTCCTTTGAATCTGCAGAGTTCCCGGGTTGGTTCCTCAGCACTTCTTCAGAAGCAAAAAAGCCTCTTGGTTTGAGTCAAAAAGGAGGACCTCAGAACGTCCTGTTTTATTTTAAAAGAAAATAATGAGCCAGAAATACTCTTCTGCATCTATGTTTCTAATAGACCTTGGATATACAAATTGGAATGGAGCCAGAATGCACAATTAGGTCAATGAGTAGACTTAAATAGTATTCTTCCTGCAATCAAAAAACATCGGAAGAACTATGTCATATTTTGGGGGAAGGTACAATATAGGTTCATGGATGATATGGACTTGATTGTATGGTCTTTATTTCTGTAGAACAATATTGTCAACATCCATCTTGCGGATCCAAATAAAAGTCCAGGTTCATTTCGTTTCTCAAACTCTTTCTGTTTATTGAGTACACAGCATGGTAATCTTGAAGCAAAACTAAATCTGAGGTTCCCAGACACCAGTTCATAGAATTAAACATAATTTCTCCAGACCAACCCCCACCCTCTCACGTAGTTCGTGTAAACAATTTCACTTTGTTATGGGAACCGTCTGCTTCTTCTCCACACCTGTTGCAGTGTCCTTGGAATGGTTTCAGGCTCTCATGGTCTTCAGCGGAATCATAGAGGTCTCATTTCTCCATCTTAATCAATTCTAAAGCAAAACCTCCCCCCTCCTTACTCTAATGGCAAGTTGAAACNATTGGCAGGGTTCAGTTTTAGACTTATGCTCCCCCTCCAGACCTCAACTGCATTCCAGGCACTGGGAAAAGGCAAACCACAGCATTGCTTAACTCATGAAGGATGACCTCCCCCAGCAGTTTCATGTAGGTGTTAAACAGCAGCAGAGAAAGAAGCAAAGGCCAGGGGTCAGATCTCTCTCCCCTGATCAGTATTGACTGAGAATGGCCTCAGAGGAAGAAATGCACCAGGACAACGCAGTGCCCTCAGTCCCCGATCCAAGAAGCCATTCCAGAAGGATGTCATAACTGATGGAATAAAAAGCCACTGATAGATCAAGTAGAAGGAGAATGGATGCACCACCCTCCCGTCTCATTGCCATCGTGTTAGTGCCATTAGGACTTTCCCCCATTTTATCCTCTCCTGCTCGATTCCCAAGTGGCCTCAAGAGATCCCTGTAATCTTCCACTATTGAAGATGTGTTTGTGTGAAAGAAAGAGAAAACAATCCAGGCTTTGATGGAAAGATAGGTGTGGTTTGTTGACCTGGTTAGGTTGCACCCCACCCACTTTCTTTTCTCCAGGGTGAGAAGCAGGATCTGGGAAGGAGAAGGAGGAGGCTGTGGTTGGCTAACACATCTGAAAGAGACATGCCATCGATGGCTGCAGTGCCAGGAAAAATGGGCATGCCCAACATGTCTTGGCTAATTTGAATATCTAATTGCTAGATTGTCAGTGGAAGCATGAAAGGAGGGCAAGAATATTCTGCAGCATTTTCCATGAGTGTCATGAAACTTTAGCTTGGAGAAAACATGGCAGAATTTGTAGGATGATGCTCGGACAGATATGAAGCATCACTTTCCTATTTGCATGGGAGATATTCTCCATTAAGAATCTTGATAGGTTTTGCTCCAGTACACTTGAGGTGTTTGGTTTATTAGGATAAGGACACATGGAAGCAGAAAGCAGGCAGAAAAAAAGAGTGATTTGCTAGTAACTGAAGTGAGAGGGAAAATTTAGGGACATTTATGAACAAGAAGATTAAGACGAAAATCTCATGCACAAATTGAAGTCCTCAAGAAAACAGATGTCAGGCCAATAAACTCAAAGTCAGTGAATTAAAGAGTGCAGCTGGAAGACTTCTACTTATTTGTGGACCATTTTATTTTAGGTAATATCATGTTCAGTTCACATGGAACTTGCAGTGCCCTATGCTTTAGTCCTTTATTTCATGTGTCAAGGAGAAACTTAATATTTTCCCTCAAATCACTCCTAAATATGGATAGAAAATAATAAGATATGCTCCTTGTGTGCCCTATAATAATCTAAATAACACGTTGGTATGCAGGTATAAGTTATAATTAAATAATTGCTTTCGGACGGAATGCTTTCATTATATTAATCCATCTAGACTAAGTTTCAATCCTATTTAAACCCTTCATGCAAATTAATGTTCAGATTTATTGTTTGTAACCAAACCATAGGAAAACCTTCTATGAAGGCTTTCTGTGAAAAATGAAAGATTGCTTCTGGACAATAAGAGCTAAACTGAATTATATCAAGCTGGTGGGGTGGGGGTGGGATTGTGACTCTTGACCCCTCCTGACCCCTCAAGGGACAAAAGTGACCTCCATGACAGTTTGAAATGCAGTACAGCAGACCCTGAGTTGGTTACTCAACTCTTGTGAGTTATTTGAGCAGGACAGTTGTGTTGTCATGCATGAGCTGAGGCAATGTCAGGGTGTTAACCCTGATTAGAAGGCATCAGTCGTTGGACATAAGCAATACCTTATAGATGGGGAGTTTTGGACAGCCAGATGTAGTGATAAATGATCTCTTACAGTAGTCAGGAGAGTGATTTCACAACTCATCGATGGGCATGTCAGTTAACACCCTCTGATAGATATAAACTCTTATGTCAGTTCCAGTGATGATCAAACAGAAGGAATCTTCAGCCCAAGAAGGAACATCTCCACAGGTATTGTCACCTGATTTATTGGGTTAGGTTACCTGCTCCTGGGACCAACTATCCATAGGGCAGAGGCCCTTTCATTTTCTATCCAAGAGTCATTGATGTTTTGGTACTTTGGGACTAGATGATAGCAACTAGATTTCCTTTTAAGAAAATTACTTTGGAGAAGCCCTTGCATTTACTGGTTTAACTATATTTAGCTTGCTTTTCTATTTAGCACTTTTTAAAAACATCTGTCGGGCTTGTTTGTATTTGTTCTGATTCCATTTTTCTTTCTTACAGTTCAATAGTTATTTTTTT